GTGTGTGTGTGTGTGTGTGTGTGACAGAATGAGAAGTGTGTGTGTGTGTGTCGCAGGCCTGGAATTAAAAACGATCAAAGCCGAGCCTGGAAAGCTATTCAGGTAGATCTGATGATAACCTCCATCTCATAAAAAGATGAGCCTCAGATGAGCAATCATCCCTTCTGACAGCACCAGTGTGAGTGTGCATGGCGGTGTGAGTGTGTCTCCGGTGTGTGTAGCTTCCCGAGGAGAGGTGACCCAGGGGGCGAAGAGGCTGATTGAAAAATAAGTTAATTTCCAGGGCCGATCGATGGGAGACAGGCGCTCAAATATCACGGGAAATTAAAATGCTCATAGCAGCCAGTCAAAGCCCTCTGCTCAGCCGCTGACCTGTGCCAATTAATTTCTATGTAGTTATCATTTCATCTCAGGGTGGCGGCCCGCTCTCTCGCAGCGAAAGAGGTGATAAGTTCCCCTCAATTAACTAATTATTACACTGAGCTGGTGAATTGGCTGCTAATGTGAAAGCAGAAGGCATTGTGAGGATGATGGAGCAGCTGACTGGTGGCTGAATATTTCCTTTTGCATTCTTCATTGCTTTGTAACCTGAATTTGTGGCATGTTAACTTTAAGATGATGTTAAAGAAGAAATTATTAAAAACGTCAAATATTTAATATAAAATTATTTGACTGAATTTACACTTCGTATTTTAAAAAGTTCTTTTTTTGTCTCATTGTCCCACTTTAAGATGATTAAAGCATCTTTGGGATTTGAAATGTAAAACAGAGCATACATATCTGCACACTGCACAGACATTAATACACACTAACACCTGTATTCTGTCCTCTGGTAGCTCAGTCTTCATGGAGAGCATTTCTCGGGCATACACATCTGGGTAGTGAGCTTCATTAAAAGCTTTCTCCAGTTCCTCCAGCTGATAGGAAGTGAAAATGGTTCTGCAGACAAAAAAAAAAGAGAACATATAAATAAGAACCCCTCTACAATTTATATTATGACATTTGTCCAATTTTGTACCATTTAAAATAAGTCTAAAACTGAAATACATTTTTATTTTTTTTTATTGTATTTTTCTTGCACTCAATTTTAAATAAAAATCAAGATGGTGTCAAATGAAAAGTACAGATTTCAAATTTTATGGAACAATTTTAGAAGTAGCAACGCAGCCAGAAACAGAAACGATGGAAGACAATTAGGCCTTTCATTCTTTCATCGTTGTTTACCAAAGAATAATCATAAATACACCGTTTGATTTTTCTATCCCCATCACACTAATTCGTTTCCATTTCTAACGAATAAATCTAGCAAAAATGTATTTTTAGAAAGACAGCAGAGGAATTCCAGATGACTTTAAGGCTAATACCATATAAAATATAATCATCACACACATGTTTAATAATTAAATACAATTCAAGTGTGTGAGGTTTTTCTCTTTCTAGTGGGGCGGGGGTATGACACCAAACGAAAGTAGCCTTACGTGATTTCACTAACTAAAAGCCGAATATAATGTACGCCTAAAAAAATAAATTATACATCGTTCGATTATCTCGGTTTTTTTTGCTTCACCTGTGTCGTCGTTTCTTCCGTTTCTTGCTCTGACTCACTGAGGATTTAGAGAATTTCTGATCTCCGGAGGAAAGACTCATGTCATCAGATTCTGTGAGGAAACAAAGCAGTGATCAATTCAAAATACTGGGACAACATCAACTAACAATAATTCAAACATTGTGTTATAGCTACACGAAATATGGTAAAGTAATCCTCATCTTTAAAAAAATAAAAAGTCCGATTTATTGACGTAACATTGTTATTTCAGAATATTGAGTCTTCAGCGCGTCTTTCCCCCTTAATATAAATTAGAATAAAGAGTATTTATTAGACTAGTTATTTTGAAACAGATATTTTAGCAAGGCCTCTAGATTTGTTTTCCATTTTTCAAATAAAATAAAACTATAAAGATGGAACCGAATTCTTTTTTTTCCCCGTGTGAAATCACTCATGCGCTTGCAGTCTTTTTTGTGCAATACCTTTCTGCTATTCCCTCCCTCTCGTTCACAATAACCACGCATAGGCAGTAGCCTATGCTATGAATCAATCCCTGCATCATGTTAGAGTTAACAGGCCTTATGTTAAACACTCACCGGAGCTGGCGGAGTGCTGCGCATCCATCTGAGAGTCCATGTGCACCGCTCTGTGCAGCGGCTGCAGGTGCACATTTTGCGCCTCTGCAAGCACCTCCAGAAAAGCAGGCTGGCTGTAAAACGAGTGTATTCCCTCTGGTCCCAGCAAACCCATACCGACCCCGAGACCCCCGTGTCCGAGGGACCTTGCGGCCAGGACGTGCGCAGTGTGCGGGAGAACCTCCAGCGGCCGCCTCTGCATAACCGCCGGCGGCTCCTTGTTGAGACCGAGCAGCTCCTGGATCCCAAAGCCGGTGCGCCGGTGCACCGTGGGGGCCATCTTCCAGACTGGAGGCGGCTGCTGGGATCCCACGTGGTTCACGCTGTTTTGTGAGGCTGACTTCTGTTTATTCTGGGTGTCTGAGAGCACAACTCCCTCTTTCCCCGTCATGGCGGTGAGATTCCACTATTTGTTTTCCACTCACTCCGAAAAAAAAAAAAAGCCAGAGTCCCTGATGCAATCAGCACCGTGATGCTCCTTTATCTCTCTGCTGCGCCTTTTAACCAACGGGCAACAGGCGGCAGCCAATCACAAGAAGGGAGGGAACCCCACGCTGAAGTTTGCACGAGCCCTATGAGGCTTCATTAAAGTAAATAATACAATTTCAGACAATGAAATGTGACAAAATAACATGTCATATTTGCCTTTTTGCCAGGACACTGCTGAGGATGTGGCTGGGTTGTCGCATATTAAAGGTGGTTTGCTGACAGCAGAACATATTTCCAGAGATGAATTATTTTGTTTTCTGCAGAAGGTCAATCTAAAGTTTGATCCCATAAATTCGTATTTATGTCATGACAGCGCACTAAAATCGGAAACACTCAGAGTTTTAGGCTTTTTTGTTTTTGCTCAATGAGATTGTTTGGCCCTGACTAACAGGACAGAGAGTGGGTGAAAGTGTTTACATGTCTTATGAGAATTCCTTACGTAAAAATCACCAACGAAAGAAGAACTAACTGGTCTTACTTCAGTCTAACTCTTCATGTTTCTGTCGCTGATCATAGTCACTGGCTCGTCGAACAGCCGGAGTAAATCAGCCAGATAAATCCCTCAAATCGAGGAGAATCAGCTTAATTTGCTGCACGTTTGTCCTCATTCAAACAGTGGCGTCACTGCTGAAATAGAGTAGCGAGGAACCAGCTTTATGGACGACAAATACTGAAAAGCAAAAAATAGAAGTCATTTCAGACTTATTTTGACTACATCTGCTGCTTTGCTAAATAAAAACACATTTAATCATAAAGCTTAATATTTTATATCAGCCTATAGTATAAATGGAGGTAGAATATTATTTCGATGTTATATAAAACAAATAATAAAATGAGTAATTTCTGCCATAAAAAAGTGTTTAATTCCATTCACAACATGAATCTATGACACACAGTAAAGGCTAATTTAAAAAAGATGCAATGTTATTAGTTCAGTGTACAATTGGTCTTCATAAACCTGCTTTCTGTATTTAAATATTTTCCAATAAGTATGCCAATCTATTTACAAAAGCTACAACAACAAAAAAAAGAGTTTCAGAGGTCAAATTAAAAGAAACACTCACAAACTCACATTAGCCAATTTCTCTACCAGTTAATTCATCAATTCCGCTTCTTATTAGGAGAACTGCACACTGATTGATCCGTTACCAGCTCGAGCTCTCTCCCCAACGTCCCATATAACCCACACTTTAATTTGCATATTCTAATTAGGTTTGCGCACTAAACGTTTTGTCTTTGGTGGCAGTCTGCGCATCTGTTGATAGATTATTAAGCGTTTTTCCTTCTCTGACGGGCCACATGATAAAGAGTACAATATCCCAGTGCAGGGTATTTAGGACACACCAGGGTGGCAATTAAAAATGAGACAAACAACGCCGGAGCACCAACAGATTTATTCACCCCGTGTTTTTATGTTTGAGGTCCGATATCAAACAACAAAAAAAGTTGTAACCCAAACTGAGAAGTCACGCAGTGTTTCAGCGCATAAATCGTGAAAGTAAGTAAGACATTTCGGACGTCAGGGGAAATCATCCGCAGCGTCTCTTCACACTCATTCATCACACTATTTAAACCTCAGCTCAAATTCAAACCCACTCAAATGTGAAATGAAGTGAAAATACTCTCATTTTCTCCCTGTTTCCACAAACCTAATCCTCTCTAATCAGCTGTTATTCAATTATTGCGGAGTTTCAATCGTTCGGAGATAATGTGCGGCACACTTTGGACATCTGGACGGATAATTACGACGAGGAGAGTTTATGGAGATGAGTGGACGCGCGCGATGGAAGCGCAGATACAAGTCTCATCAATGGGACATGTGGTGATGAATAAATAAATAAATATAGGTGGTTCCGGCGGGACTGTTTGGCAGCCGTGCGTCAGGCTGTCGTGGCGGCCAAACCCACAACAGATTTAGTGCCGGTTTGTAATCTGAGATGTGATCAAGAGATGCGGCTTCACCCGGTCAAGTCAATTATGAGGCTCCATGTTGCTTTGTGTGTCACTAGGCTGCACCTCCGTGCAAGAAAAGAGACTATTTATGCTGTGTTATAAACGTCAAAAGACGATCATCTATTCGGATATTTGGGTTGACATTGCTTTAATAAATATTTGAGCTCGTATTTGTCGGAGTCAGTTTAAAAATTGTAGATTACAATCTTCACAATAGAAAAGAAAAGTGTCGCTTATTTGATGTGTTAAAAATAAATAAATATAAATAAAATGCCCCAGATGTTATAAAGAACTAGAGAGTGAAAGAGAGAGGGGCAAAGCAACCGAAATTACCTTCCGCATCTCACGAGAAGCTATTCGAGAGACATTTCATTAGAGGTGAATGAAGAGATCAATGCCATACCAACAGCTATGCTAATGAGGTTTCTACATCACCCACACGCACACGCGCGCGCACACACACAGAAGGATGACATGCATGAATCACATCCTTCCACTCATCAGGATGCAGCAACACGATGTTGCATCCTGAGCATCACATCGCACTGCTTCTGCACACAACTGCAGCTTCTTAAAACCTCCTTCACTCAAGGTTCATCTCCATCTTGTTACTTTACAAACGTCTCTGAAACGTGTTCAGAAAAAAATCCAAAATCAGCAGTTAACACAAAGAGAGAGGAAGCACGAATAATGATTATCAGATTCAGGAAAACATGAATATCATTTGAGAGGCAACCTTACTGTAGACATTTTTCCCATAAGGGATTACATGTTATGCACATTTAATAGGAGTCACTGAAGGGCCTTTTCATCCTTTTTTAAATTTTAGAACTAGAAAACACATTTAACCTCTGTCTAATTTAACTGTTAGTTTGCACATTAATAAATTTCTTTGAATTCTGAGCTGCATAAGTTAGGTTTTTCTTTATGAAACCATTTAAAATGGATTCAGTCTGACTGTACTGGCTGCAATAATGTCTTTGACCAACACAAACACCACATGCACCAGCAATTTAAACAGCGACTTGTAATCTGGGTTTAAGTAAATGACGCTAAGGTCCACTTATGAGACAGACCAGAGGCCCCACGATACGATATTATCACGATATAGTGACATATGCACTATATGACCTTATTGTAATTTCAAACATTTTGTGATGCGCCAGGTATTGCGACAAAATATATTAAATTTATACATTTATTATGTTTTTTTTTTCAATTGCAAACACATGCAGTTTGTCAACATCTGTTTTATCCAATAAGTTTAAGTTTTCACTTGTTTCATCTCATTCTATTCATTTTTATTGCAGCAAAATGGGTTCGTCAGTTAAGCCGACTAATTCATTCATTTCAATTTGCAATATTAACAGTTTATATAATAAAAGATCGATACCTGTTGTCCGTGTATTGATACAAAATTGCCACGCATAATATTGCGATCCTATGCTATTTAGATTTTTCCCCGACCCAAAGGCATGGCAGTCTGTAAGCAATCGTTTCATTGTTCACTTTATTCATTATGTGTATTATGATTGAGTGAATCCACTCATTTGGTATTCTTTGAAGCACTCCTTGTAGGATAAACCATATAAACTAAAACCTAGAGACGATGATAAAATCTGCAGCGAAAGATTGCTGTATTCTGGTCAGCGGAAATTTTCACACAACAAAATAGTGGAATCAAGTTTTATAAAAACTAATACTGTGAACCACAACGAGATGTCAGAGGTGCAGACGGCATGAAAATGCTGACTAAAGACTTCCGTCACTGACGTCAACAGACATGGTGGCAATCTCTGCATCTTCATTTTGACTACATTCACTTTTAACCATAATGCAAAACAAACAGGATTTGCTTCAAATGTGACAAGACTGAACTTCTATCAATGAGGTGAACATAGCAAGCAGCTGCACTGCTGTTCAGATCACCGTCTGCAAAGCTGCAAAGGAACAATAAAAGAAAAAAGTTAAAGTTGACACCATGACGAGACAAACAGGACCTCTGACTTTACTCCAATAGAGTCTTTATCTGCATTTACTTTCAAATGTATAGATTACTGTAGAACATATCGCTAATTAAAATTCTTTCAGTGCAGCATAAAAACATATTTGAGGCAACAACAGTCTGAGAGTTTCTGCATCTCTTTCTGTCTGATCCATCTTTGTGCTTGTTTGAGGCGCCACGAATGGCTCTTCTAATCTAGCTAATTGCTGTTTCCCAGAGCTTGGCATTAAAGAAGAAGAGCTGGGTCACCAAACAGCCGTTGATCAAAACATCCTATTAAGGTGAAGAAACAAAAGACTCTCACAACCCGAACAATGTGCCACTGGTGATTCAACAGTTCGCTCTGTGGGCACAAACCATTAATTAGGGCAATAACTTCATGCTATTGCCGTTCTATAGTCTCCATTTCTGTATGAGTGCATCTATTTATGCTCTGAAGTTTTGTCGGGGTCTCCGACTTGCCGAGTGTGCCGCATTCCCCCGTTCCATGTGCAGATGTGTTATTGGCGTAATGAGGAAAATACTTTGGGGAAACGTGGGAGAGAGACTCCCAAACCCAAAAACCTTCCTGACAAAATAATATTCCTCATTGTAGTTACTGATAACGAGAATTGACATAATTACTTGGGCCCATTTCTTGTCTAATTAGCACACTTCCACAGTGGACAGGGACTAGCAGTTAGACGGGAGAAGGGAATCGGACAGGCATGGCAGTAGCAACACAAAAAAGGGGCCTCTGGTTTCAGCATAATTAGGTGAGACAATGCCCCTGACTGTTTTGAGGTATGGCAGCGGCTCAGAGCTGGGGCCGAGCTGGCGAGCGGACGCCCCATGAGCTACGTCTCCCCGAGACCCTAATAAGCCCCTAATTGTCTTTTTTTTTTATATATATTCACATGAGCAGCACCAGCAGACATAAAGACAGACTATTCTTGGTCTCCTGC